TCTACCTATTTTTCTCTTCCTAGAGAAGACCAGTCATCCCTTCGACCCACTCATCACCTTTATCTACCACCTAGATCTTCGTTAGACCACATACGCACCCTGTGGAACACTGTCCTAACCTCGCCTTGAGAGTCGCACCCAGGATATAATAAACATATACCCCATGGGGGCGTGGATATCAGACCAAGAGCGGCAACATACACTCGAAAAAGCAAGGTAATAACTGCAACGCAGACATTTCCCTGTGCTACATTAATAGGGGACTACTGCTGGGTAGTGGTTAACGGAGTCACATTTCTAAATGTGTACAAAGCACCAAACAGCCCAGTGTCTCTACGACCACTTGTGGACTGGACACCATCGGCAAAGACTATTGCTGTAGGAGATTTCAACTCAGTTCACAAGGCATGGCAGCCGGGGGCAACTTGCCCACATGGACAAGGGGAAGCGATAGAAGAATGGGCTGACAAACACAAACTTTCCTGCCTTATCATTGGAGAACCAACACACAGAGCAGAGAACACACTGGATCTTGCCTGGTCCAATATTGACGGAACTCTCGCGTGGGTAGACCGCAGCGAATGTATGACAAGCGATCATCTACCAATCAGAGGTCAGGTGCCAACTACATTCAAAGCTCTAGATACTGAGCCGCCCAAAATCAGGGTACGACCAGGCGACCTGCCGAATTTCGCTCGAGCTGTTGCCCAATGGGCCCATCCTCCACCGAAATTGGATACAATAGACAAGGTGGAAAAATACGCTCAAGAACTATGCTCCAATCTATCCAATGCTATCAAGGCTACGGGCACTTTAGTTAAAAACGGACACGGTAAGCACTCCCCATGGTGGACGCCCAAATGCAAGGCAATCCATGCCGCATATCGAGCAGAAAATATACCCAACGCCGGGCTACCCACGCGAAATTGCTGCGAGAGGCTATTGTCTCAGCAAAGAAAGATTACGTCACAGGAAAAGTTCAGAAGATGACTACAGCCATGGATGTTTTTAAGCTGATGCGTTCGGCCAACCCTAGGCAGGTCAAAACATCACCGCCCCTCAGCCACAACGGCTCGCTCGTCTCAGACCCGGCTGAAAGAGCAACAATACTCCGAGACGCCCTTCTCGCGCGCCATGAGTCAACAGATGACCTCTCTCCATGCACAACGCCAAGCGAAAACAGGATACCCTGGAATGACGACGTCTCAGAAGACGAAGTCCGTACATGCACCATTGGATGCAAGAAGACAGCACCAGGGGCAGATGGAGTTTCAGTAGAGCTCCTCGAAGCCTGTTGGAAGACAATTGGCCGATGGGTGACGCAACTGTTTAGGGCCTGCATCCGTCTCGGCATACATCCAGCATGTTTCAAGTTGGCAGAAGTAGTCCTTTTACATAAGCCAAATCGAGGCCCATCGACGGTCAAAGGCTGGAGACCGATCGCTCTCCTATCATGCCTGGGTAAGGGTCTAGAGAGGCTACTTGCAAAAAGAATGGCGCGTCTGGCAGTCACACATGAGGTAGTGGGTCATCAACAATTTGGTGCGCTCTCAAAGAGATCTGCAACAGATCTGGTCTCCTGCGTGGTACACGACATTGAAGAAGCTAGGTCGCAAGGATGGGCGGCTACTTTCATTACCTTGGATTTACAGGGAGCGTTCGATGCAGTGCTTCACAATCAGTTAATCAGAAGAATGCAGTCACAAGGATGGCCGGACTCAATTTTGCGGTGAACAACCTCTTTTCTTGCTAATCGACGAGTTCAGGTAAGGTATACGGGTGGGGTCACAACAGAAAGAGAATTGGTCTGCGGGGTCCCACAGGGGTCACCGATATCTCCACTTCTATTCCTTCTGTACATGGCAGAACCCATGCAGGATAGGAATCCGGGACGAAGGTTTAGCTACGCCGATGACGTTGGTGTTCTTGCTTTCGGCCGCACAATAGTAGATTCTGCCTCGGCCGCCCAAGAAGAGGTAAATCAACTGACCAGTTGGGCGAAAAATAACGCTATAGCCTTCGACACAGATAAGTCCGAAGTAATCCAATTCCCTGGGCGCCATCGGGAGATAGGAATAGGCATACACGTCAATAGTATCTTTATTGAACCATCAGAAAATGTTCGCTGGCTAGGAGTTTACCAGGACCCTCGGCTCAATTTTAAACACCATGTGACAAAATGGTGCGGCAAAGCTGCCAAAGCTGCTCATCATATGCGTCGTTTTAATTCTACTTACCGAGGTGCTGCCCCAGATGCACTGATAAGAGCGGTTGACCTATGTATCATCCCTGTCGCTACTTACGGCTCCGAGGTGTGGTGGCCAGGCCTGAAGCGCCCAACTCAACGCGGAGTCAGCACTTCACAAACGACTGGCCTCTGCAGCATGATTGACAAAGTCATCAGCACAGGATTACGGGCGGCACTTCCAGTAATGAGGACTACGCCCACAGTAGTGCTACGGCGAGAAGGAGGGATCCCGCCGGCAAGAATCATTCTCGAGGGGAATCGGCTTCGACTATCAGCAAGCTCAAATACCTTGACTCTGGACATCTTCTGAGACTACGAGCTGCTGTCTGCCCTAATATTGGGACAAGAAAGTACAAGAAACATGATCGTCAATCAGCACGACCAGAGATTCAAATGTGTCGAATCCAGCGTGCTTATCAACAACTCCCAGAAGCTGAATCCGCCGAGCCTTTACCGGCTTTGGCCTATCTCAGTAAGGTAAGCGCGAAAGAGAAAGACACGGAAATTTGTAAACGCTGGATAGAGAGTCTACCAAGCTCAGTGATCTGCGCCTACTCTGATGGGGCATCAGAAAGACACGGTCGCTCGGCGTGGGCTTTTGTCTTGAAAAGAGACGGAAAGACCATAGATAGAGATTCCGGTACCATACATGGGGGGGAGGTACTGGACGCTGAGATAGTCGGAGTAAGGAAGGCTCTAGAGGTGGCATTGCAAATAAGTGGGCTGGAATCTCGGACCCCAGGAAAAGTGGCACAACCTATCTACGTGCTGACCGACAGTCAGCATGCAAGAACCGCTATGCTGTCCGGAGACACATCGACAAGCATTAAAGAAGCCCGAATATTTCGGACAATGACACAGGCTGCTCCCGAAAGAATCATCGTAAAATGGGTTCCAGGACACAAGGGCATTCAAGGGAATGAAGAAGCAGATGCTGCAGCTCAGAGCAAACTCCGCAGTCTCCCCCTCCGAGATGAGGAGCCGCAAAATATCAGCAGTGCATACCTCTACCGGCTTATGAATCAGAAGAGACAGATGCTGCTAGACCAATTCTGGGACGAATCATGCCCACCCAGATACCGCGAACTAGACTTGATGATGCGCCGGAAAAAGCCACCGGAACTATCACTTCCACGACGACTTCTATTTGAAGTCATCGCGGCTCGTACCGGTCACGGAAATTTCGCCGCGTACCACAGACGTTTCAACAACCCAAACGCGAACATGAAGTGTTTGTGCGGAGAGGAGACTACAGCAACGCATTTCATGCATTGCAGACTTTACACTCGTCATACCCGACGACTAAGGGGAACTACCCAATACCAACAATTTCTTAAAATTCTTCTAGGGCCCAAATGCCTCAAAGAATTTTCAACGTTTGTGCAGGAAACTGGCTGCTTCAAAAGCCAACCTGCGACCTTGTCCACAGCTCTCAGCATGGACGAAGAATAATATTTATGGTGGAAACCGTGAAAGGGAAGGAGTCAGGGTGAGGAGCGCTGATACTGGACCATTATATTGGAATTTCCTTTGTTTATTAATTTTGACTGTTAGAATTTGTTTTTGTTTTAAACCGGCTACAATTTAGGTAGTGGTTTCACGCGGTTGGAATGAGTTGGGCTGTGGTAAAGAACACAGGGATCCCTTCCGGCTCCACCGGTCTTGTACCCATAGCGGACCGGGAGCAGTAGCTTAGGACCTTAAAATTACAAACAAAAAAACTCACACTCAAATTTAATTTGCAGATACCACTCGAGGTTAACCCTTACGGCGTATAACCTCTTCCGTGCATACCCACCACAGGGAAAAGCGTGAGAACCCTATATTTATCCGAGTGTGCTTTTATCATCCCACAAATACAATATCACCACTAGAGAAAGGGGCGTGCGGGTTTCACGGGACTTGGACTAGCTTTCTTCTGTCTCAAATGGGGTTAGTGTTCAAGCTACCGAGAAAATACTTTGGAGAACGGCCCGAGTGGTGTACCACTGCACCATTCAACCCAAAGGAGATATGTGTAGTGAAGAAGCATCAAGCTTCATTGTGGTACTATCTAGCATTTAGTACATGGTATCACGTGATATATAGAATCCACTACAGTATGTTACTAGTGCAAAATATCCTTGAGTCATGGTCAGGATCTGAGAGCTCAGGTCATGACATATGTTCCTTCATCCTCTCTTTGATCCTTACAGAAATCCTGAATTCAGATCGTTCGACTCACCCGAGCCTTTTCACAATATGACTCATGTGTAACGACTTGCGATGAAATGTTTGCTACATGCTAACTTCTTCCTTAAGTTTCTCGAACGATCTGCCATTATCGAAAGAAAAGATGATAAACTTAAGTCGTTAATTTATCAATCCGCTAACCCACATGCTTGAGAATATATATACATACATATATATAGCCGTGACCCTGCGAGAATTGTTATTAGCATGCCAAGCTACATGGCGAACCACCGGCAACGGTTGAAACCTAGCCGATATCAAATTAAAAGCTGACGGCAGATAATAATCTATCCCCACTAAGCTCATGGAATGCAATAGTAGACTTATGTGAGCCTGCTCATATCTAAGTCGGGTCCAACACTTATTGCCAGAACCTTAAAGAGAAAATAGGACGAGTTTCATCGCTAAATGGTACATTGATAGCATGCCCTACTAATCTTTTGTTCCAGTCCAAGCTGACAAAACTAGGGCCAATCTCAATCATAATTACCTTCAAATAATCTCAAACTCAAAATTCGGCATGATTATCGTCCTCACTATTATTTCGCTTCTATTCCAAAATATAGTCGCCTTCAGTGCTACCGCTGACACTGAAAAATGCAAAGTCTTCACATCAACCATCGATGGAAAGGTTAGGTTTGTCAACGGCAGTACACTTGAAACATCACGCTCAAAAGCTTGTCGAAAAATCCGTAATATGGATCTCAGGGATCACACAGAACAAAAACCACTTGAATTTAATATTGAGGAGTATAGAAAATACATGATAGGACATCCCCGCATTAAAATATCAAACATAATGTTTCCTGGAAGCCAATCTAAAAGAAAACTTTACTTTACTCAGATAACAGACTTGGGTGAATACTTCTTACAAAGTGAGTTAATTCAGTCTCAAATCTCCCATATCTAACCCTTGAATCTTGCCAAAAGCTCACTTTAAATGTAGAGGAGAAACATCCTTCAATATCCTTCTATCTAGTCCTAGACCAAGATTGTAGCCTGAGATCAGTTTACAAAACTGAAGTTATTATAGTTAGTAGTTCGGATTCCTTTCAACGCCAACTCTTAACAACATTTTTCGAAGTGCAACAACTTGATGAAATTGAGCGTCAAGAATATCCTGTGGTGCATTTTTTCCGGCGTAAACTTAAGATTTCATGATATCACTCTTCGAAATTATTCATTTATATTCAATAAATACTTTGAATATCCCGAGGAAGTACAAGTGAAAGATGACATAATCGCGAAGCTTCATATGTTAGGATCTGATTATTTAATTGGTTTTCGAGTCGAGATTTACGGTTTAAGGACCAAGGTTGACATGTCCGTATGATAATGTTGTGTTCCAGTCAGCAAACGAGGGTATCTTTGTAAATTAATGCAAAACAGTGAAAATGCTATGGAAACTATAGAACACGGTGAAATGAGATGGGATCAAATCACGTTGAAGAGAGTGGAACACTGAGGATAGTCAGATTCCAGATACTAGGGAGTAGGTATTGTGTGCATAGAGAGGTAGCATCAGTGTTGAGCTCGATAGAGCTTAACGTAGCGTTGTGAGGTTTAATTTAAAATACGAGTAATATCTGAGAACTTTAGCAAAAGGCCGAGTTTTGCATAAATAATTCTAGCTACAACTGAGGAGAAGAAACAATGGAAGAGGAAAGACAAGATATAGCCCCTTTCAATGGCTCTCCCTTAAGTATGTGTGTATATGTTTATTGTCCTATTAAGTCTGTCTATTTTAGGACATTTAGGTTCTTCCTGCATATAGGCCAGAAGTATCTATACCTAAGGTAGTATACTTCCTCTTGTGACTTCTTCACGGCTTCTTTCCAGCAGTAATACCCCCACAGGTCTTCACTCGAGCACACACTAAGAAGAGCCGTCATCCCGTCATCCCGTCAACATCTTCCCTCTCCAGCCAATGAAACGATGGCCATTTGCGGGTATGTAGCTGCAGGGAGAAGTCTCAAAAACCACCGGGTGCGGGGCTCTCTTATGACAAAGAGGCCGGCCTGTTACGGTTTATTTTACTTCAGTGCCTCTGGGTTGGAAAAGGTAAAACTTTAGACTGGGTTATTGAAGGGATTAGCCCTGTAGGCGCATTTGGGCTAGCTCGTAATAGGTTAGACAGTCTCTCCTCCTTACCCCGCTCGCCTTTTTTTTCGTATCAGATTTTAACTGCGTATGCAACCATCTATCTGTGACACAATATCTAAGAAAAGTACAGAATAGATGATTCAACGTAAAGGAAGAGCACTCATGCCTCAGATTTCATTTGCAAGTACCATTGCGAGGTTATTGCGGCTTTTTCTTCACCCCAAGTCAACCTTCATCCGTGAAAACCCACCCAGGGGAACGTCTCAAAAACCCTGAGTTATCCAGACATGCCTCCATCATCTTTCAACTTTTCTCCGCGCGAAATGTAATCTGAGACGTCTCCTTCCCAAGTGGAGTAGGTGCCCAGGCTACTCAAACTATACCAGAGAACATCACCGGGAGGCGGATCACAACACCTTCCATCGTCTGCTTATTTTTATTGTGTATGCTGCACTCTCGCAAGCGAAGTCTTAGCACGCACAAAGCTCAATTCGTAAAACTCTTGCCAAAATTCGATATTTCACGCCTGTCGAAAACGTATCCCTCTTCAACATCATTTTGTGAACTTGTCCTGATCCCTCTCACGTCCATCCCAAAGAAATATCTCCTAGATTTGTGCTCACGCTTTGCTTCCTCCTTCGGATATAAATATCGGCGTGGGCGTGTATTTGGTGACCGGCTGAGGCCAGAGAAAGTCGACGAGAGGTGTGGTCATTGAAACGAGGATGTACTAGGTCGTACTTGTAGACTTGATGAAGCTTAGTTGAGAATCGGACTCTTTGGGAGTGAAAGATTGACATGGTGGAGTAATTTGAAATTTTGCCTCGTGGGCCAACTTCTTTGATATTGCGAAATTTGACTGAACTTGGCTCTGGGAGAATATTTCACTCACAGGTTCGTAGAGGACACCGCGTACAGGTGTTCAGTCTTGCCCTCCTACCCCGCTCGCTATGAAGTATGGTCCAATCGTCTTCTTCTAACAATCGCTTAGAAAAACACTTTTTCAACGACACTTTTGGCTGCCTGACCTACACAGTCCTCGAAACTTGACATCACTATCAATTCATCCTCTATTATTGCAAACAATGTCTCTCCAAAAGTCTGCTTCAGAAACTATAGGCCGCAAGCATCTAACTGGCGATCAATGTATTGAAATAAGAGCATTAAGAAGACTTGGCTTGACATAACAATATATATACGACGAACTTGGCATCACTGTTAGGCAAGTGCAACTTGCGTGTGCTCGAGGGACTGAGAATCCTATGTCTCGCAAAGGACCCTTACCAAAATTAAGCGCGGAACAAGTTGATGAGCTTGAGGCTTTCGTCCGGAAATCTCCTGAAAATTGTCAGATTTGCTATTTAGAACTAGCGACGGGAACCTTCAGCCACTGGGGATGCAGTGAACGTTTAATTTCTAACGCACTGAAAAAAAGAGGTTACAGCAGATGCATTGCTCGGAAGAAGTCTCCGTTAAGCGCGGTGAACAAGCAGAAAAGATTGGAGTTAGCCCAATTATATTTAGATTGGAGCGATGAACAATGGAATCGAATACTATGGACTGATGAAACCTGGATACCACATGATCCTCCTATGAAAACTCGTGTCACAAGAAAAGTACGTATAAATTCTATCAAAATCTTCCTTGTACTAACAGCAGAGTTTAGCCTAATGATGAGTTTAAAGAGACTTGAATTGTGGCTCGCCATGCTTATGGGAACAGCTGGATGTTTTGGGGATCATTTTATGGATCACAAAAAGGCCCATTCCCAGTCTGGGAGAAGGGTTGGGAATCAATGAGGGCCTCATCCTTTTGTGAAAGGATTTTGCTTCTTTTGAATCAATTTTATGGGAGAATCCAGAAATTCTATACATGCACGACAATGCACCATGTCGTAAAGCATACTCAACGATTGAGGCGCTGCGTGAGGTTGGAATAACGCCTACTAGATAGCCACCTTACTCTCCGGACCTGAACCCGATCGAGTCATTGTGTAATATCTTAAAAAACCACATTCAGGTAAATATTCATGAGAAAAATGGGGTCGGGCTTGTGCGCTCTGCCACGTTGAAGACGTTGTTACAGGATGCATGGGACTCTATACCTTCTGAGGAGCTATTGTCACTAGTTGGCAGCATGCACGAAAGATGTGTAGCAGTGGTAAAAGCAAATGGAGGGTACACAAAGTATTAGGATGGAGAAGACACACAAAACATGTAGTACGCTTTCATTTTAGTTGCGAGCCATACTGAGGGCTTTGATGTAGACTTTTGTAATACAGAGCAATAATTTTTGAAATAGATGTGCATTTTAAGAGAATATCAATCGACTTTTTTCAATTTTGAATTTCAACTAAGGACTTTTGTACTTTTCCCATTGCGTTCAAAACCATCCCCATAATTTAGACTTTCACGGAATATCATTGGATAATACCCCTTGCTTGCATAACTATTCGAGAAACCTAGACATGGGCCTGCATGAAGACCATACCAATTAAGACAAAATTTACAGGGGAATAACCCCAGTCATTTTGAAAATTTTACCTTGGCCATCCATAAGAGACTGTACATGTTTCTCTAAGGCGTTGTTGGTACTGCAGGGAATAGACCTGGAATGTGCGGCGTTAGTGTCTTGGCATGTAGATATTTTACTATAGGAGATACACGTAGAAAATAAAGGAGGACGAAGGCTGGACATCTGTCAGTGGTGTCCTCTACGAACCTGGGAGTGAAATATTCTCCCAGAGCCGAGATTCAGTCACAAAAAAGGGTGTGATGAATTTTATTTGATGGATCCTCGACTTGAAGGAGTTGCACTCGATATTTTGGTCGGAAAATCAGTCGGCAGGGATTTCACAGCCGGAACAACGTCGAACAAAAAGTCATCACCACCAACATACGATTCACGAATGGGCCTAGGTCTATCTGGGGGTCGTATTCAAACATCCGACATCTGTTAAACTTCTTTTATACTTGCGACGAAGCATTTCTCAATCGATCCTACACCTGCGACCTACCTCCATACCCGTCCGATCACCTACCTACACACGCCCTAATGATGGAAACGGGACGTGTACAAAGGTGGAAGAAGAGGGAAGATACACCGAGGGGATTACACAAATCCCCAATTACGAAAATAACCCAACGGTACGATATGAAGGTGCAAGGCTAGAGCAACGATGAGATCTTGGACAGCATTTATATTTCGGAGTCAATGAGGATGTCAAGGGCTCGGGCGCGTGGTGGCCGAGGCTGAGGAGGAAATCGCGCTACGGCGTGTATACAGCGGGTTTCTGGACGGTTAGGCTTGGTATGATTCAACACATAGGTGAAGTCTGAGGTGGTCCGGTCATTAAAGTGGGACGAGGTTTATCTGTACTTCACGGTAGTTAACCTGATCCGGCCCAACCCCACACGTGCTTAAGCTCCAATAGGAGTGCAAAGGCAGTCATGTAACCTTGCACGTTAATGAACAAAACAAGACGAGACGTAGAAAATGGGGAACACAATAGACAATCAGATGATTATTACCGCAAACCATTAATGCTATTTAGTCCATTACAAGTGATTTAATACGGGCAGCCGGGCACAGTAAACCTGTGTATACCTGAGGGTGTCTCTCAACTTTCCTGGCCTCCTCGTTACTCCTCCCTTGATTCATGCCGCAGAACAACCCGAAGATCGTGAAAGAATGTCAGAAAAGTCTTGGTGGAGAGTGACTATCGTGAAGGAGCCTAGCCTAGCATCCAAAAGTCGTTACGGACGTGGGGTCGTCGGGTGACTCATGTATTTTAGATGTCCTCCTGGCTAGTAGATTCGGAAGTTAAGATTAGTAGGGACGATACTATTGACGAGTCGAAATCTGCCTTTCTTGAGGTCGGAAAGGTCTTTTACTTTGCTTTCGTGGGCTTTTTGTTCGCCCGCCGGTGGGTAGCACATGTTGTGATATAACGAGGGCCTCTCTGACTACCGATGTAATCTTTGGTACCGCATTGTCTTTCCTCATTCCCAGCATCATTATCGTAGTCTTGGTCGTCTTAGGAGTTATCGGAAGCGTAT